AAATAAACCAACAATTTAAAAACTAATAAGGTGTTTAACATATATCAAGTAGTAATACAATAGTTATTGTAGCAACTTTGCAAAATTATGTAAGGCGTATTAGGTATTGCAAAGAATAAACAAGGCAGTTTTTATACAAATACGTTACTCATAGCGGGTGTGGAGGCGCTTATATGTGTTTGAAACTTATTATGATATTTCAAAGTTGTTCTTTCAATTTTAGTATTAATTTAATTCAACAGATAATACTGTATCCACTTATTCTAATTTTTGTCTAGAAAAGCGAGTATCTAAGGCTTAGAACTCTAGAAAATTCCCCAATAAAATACTATTAAATGTCTCTCATCTCCTTTTAAAGTTTAGAAATGAACTTGTAATGTTGGAGATGTTTATCTGATGTGATGTATGTTATAATTATTTTTTATCATTTCTTGACAGAGAATTTAAAGAATCTCGTTTGATTCAATCCAAACGCTCTTCCATTAACACATACTTACAACGCTAGAAACGGGGTTTCGATAGCCGTGGTGGGCAGAGCACAGATAGCCCACTGTGTAGCTTTGTGCATAATTACAAATAAACTAAACCAAACCATTAACACATACAATGCCTGACCCCTATAATACCATGATTATTACTTACTAGCGTATATCCCGTCAAAAATGACAGGGCAAGTACTACTACCCCCACCCCATGCTGCTTAGAAACAAAAGTATAACCTAATAATGTTGTTAGTCTATGTACTGAAAGTATAAAATAAAATGTACAAACAATAAAACTGGAAAATATTTATTGCTTTCTTAACTTAGAGTCTCCGTTGATTAAAGAGGTTTTTTTTATAATTTATTTTATTATTTTTTGGTTATATGACAGAAAATAGCTTAATACAGAAACGAGTTAGGTTTAAAATTGAATCAATATTTTTACTTTCTTGGTAAATTTTATGCACTTGGCTCTAGGCTAGGTAATCCCACACTACGTCTTTACTTTAGGCTTATTATACCAACATTCACTACACTTATAAGGTTTCTGGAAAAGTGCATTTTAGCGTTTATGACTCCTCCTATTTCGAGAAATCAAGCGTGACACACACAGGCTTTCTGTATAAGTTGTATTTATTTACTTATTTTATTCAATCATTTATTTATTTTATATTCCGCGACTCTAACCATTCATCAATACTTTTAGCACACTTCAACTTGCACTGTTCCATTATATTATTGTCGTTTTGTATTCTTTTCGGTTGCTATAATTTAAAATCAGTTTTGTTACCCGTGACGTTCATAGACCATTGAAAAAGGCATAAGCCAAAAAGTCGGGTACAATAAAAAAACATTTATCTGATGTTGTTTGTCGTCTTCATGGAATATGTTCTAATCATATGGATAAATAATATGGAACCGAACAAAGTAACTACTGTCAATTGTTGCAAATACACAACTTATAGACTCATTTAAAACTGAAAGGTTCTATTTCAGTGTGTTTTATACGTAACTAAACTGCCAGTTTCTGGTGAAAATAATACGATACTGTGTAACATAGTTGAGAAAAAGCTTTCAGCCGGTACGTAATATCGGTGAATGATTTTAGAGGTGATACTGGGTACCGGAATAGAAAGGTTTTGTAACAAATTATTCATGTAAACATGAACTACAACACTATGTTAAACATATTTACAATGCTTACTTTGTTGTTAAGTTATAAAAACAGCTTATAGAAGTAATAGCATGTATTCACGTAATCGCTCTGTTGGTATACTGAGTACTGGTATAAAATTTTCCAGAAATCAGCCTTTGGTTATAACGCATCATCTTTCTGTGTGATTTGAGTATAAATATAATATACACACGATACCTGTTACATATTTTCCTTACCTATATTATCCTAGCTTTATCGTTTATCATCTATAGGAATATAGGAATATTATTATATTTTAAGAAGATCAAGCATATCATATGCTGGGAACACTTCAGTTGATTTCTATATAATAACAAATATTGTTAGTGTTGGGACAAACAGTCCCGGACGATCTAAGTGAGAAGAGTGAAACAGTATCCCTGCAGTAGATGCGAATATGTATTCAGTATTACTATAGATTATAGATCAGCTCATAGATCAGATCATGTCAGATGTAATATTGAAGTGAGATTAATATTTAAAAAAACTTAAAACAACTAAAAAAGTTCAAACACTCCCACAAAAACATATGTTAATAGTGCAGTGTTAGTACAGATAAAGTTACTATGAATATGATTGTTTGTTGCAAAGCACAAAGCTACACGATGTTATCTGTTCTCTTTCATCACGATTACCGAAACCCGATTTTTAGCGTTATAAACCCGCTGACTTGCCGTTGAGCCACCGGGGGCATGATTGTTTGTCGGAATTTCGCGCAAAGCTACACGAGGGCTATCTGCGTTAGCCGTCA